TCTGGTGGAGTCTGTCGGGTTTTCGATGTAGAGTATCATGTCATCTGCGAAGAGTGAAAGTTTGACTTCCTCTCTGCCAATTCTGATGCCTTTGATTTCTTTTTGTTGTTTGATGCTAGGATTTCCAGCACTATGTTAAACAACAGTGGTGAGAGTGGACATCCCTGTCGTGTTCCTGATCTCAGGGGGAAAGCTCTCAGTTTTTCCCCATTGAGGATGATGTTAGCTGAGGGCTTCTCATAGATGGCTCTGATGATGTTTAAGTAGGTTCCTTCTATCCCGACTTTCTCGAGAGTCTTTATTAAGGAGGGATGCTGTATTTTGTCAAATGCTTTTTCTGCATCTATCGACAGGATCATATGATTTTTATCTTTTCTTTTGTTGATGTGATGTATCCCATTGATTGATTTGCGAATGTTGAACTAGCCCTGTAACCCAGGAATGAATCCCACGTGATCTTGGTGGATGATTCTTTTTATGTGCTGCTGGATTCGATTTGCAAGGATCTTGTTGAGGATTTTTGCTTCCGTATTCATCAAGGATATTGGTCTGTAGTTCTCTTTTTTTGCTGGATCTCTGTCTGGCTGCACACAAACATTTTAAAAGGATAACCAGCATCTCCAGTTCCAAACCATCCTCCCAGATGTTTTCCTTCCCTTTTTCCATTTTGTATTTGTGTGTCCTTTCCTCTGTAGTAAGAACCCTGGCTCAACATCAACATGTTTACTCAAAAATATGCACATTCTCATTTGCTCAATCCCAGAATGCATCTAAAATAGTTTCAAAATGTCTTCACCTATGTCACTACAATAAACAGACCAACTTAAAAGTTCAGGATCCATTTGAAATTCCTGTCTTCATACACTACTTTGCACAAATCTTATGGGCATATACTCAAATACTGAGTTGATAAGTTACTTGGATTAACTCTTTTCTCCTCTTTTGCTGTGATTGTAGTATTCAGTTGAAATAACATTAGATTCATTTATTTCATTTTGCTTTCATTTTTCCATTTCCTTGTTTTTTCTTTGATTTAATTTTATGTTTGAAATTGTAGACTAATATGCTTTTAAAAGTCAAATCTCTGCTAAAAGTAATACTCAGATAAGTGCTACTTTTTCCTGCATGCCTTCTATCCCATGTCTCCCATATTCCTTTATGCTCTTATGATAATGACATTCAGGTATATTTTTATTTTTCTTTTCATATGCAAAAGGTAGATTACTATATATGCTTCTTCACACTTTGCTTTTCTCTCTTCATTTAGAAGTCACTCCATATTAGTTCATCGTGATTTTCCTCATTCCTTTCTATAGCTGCATAGTATTCCCTTGTATGGATGTACCATAATTATGCAGACCTTCTACATTTGGACATTTATGTAGTTTTCAGCAATTTTCAATTACAGATAAGGTTGTAATGAATAATCTTATCCAAATGTAATTTTGTATTGGTGGAGATATATCTTCAGGATAAAATTCTAGAATCAGTATTTCTGGGTCAGGGGGTAAACATGTATGTGTATAGTTTTGTTAAATAGTGCCAAATTCTCCTCTATAGGGGTTGTATGATTTTGCACTCCCACTGGATATGGGTGAGAGTGCCTGTTTGCCCACAGCTCACCAGCAGAGTATACTGTCAAGTTCTTGAATTTTTACCAGTATGGTGGGTAAGAAATGGTACTTCAGTGTAGTTTTAATTTGCATTTCTCTTCTTATGAGTGGATTTGAATTATATTTTCATATGTTTAAGGGATGTTTTATATCTCTTATTTTTGAATTATCCACTTGCCTATTTTTCTAATGGAAATTTTCGTTAAATTTTTTTTATAAATGTGAGAAATTAGCCCCTTATCAGTGATAAAAGTTGCAAATATCTTCTTCTATTTTACTCTTTTTCTTTTGATTTTACATAGAGTATTTTTCCCATGGAAAAATATTTATGTGATCACATTTTTAAATGTATTTTAATGCATCCACATTTCTGTTTATAGTTACAAAAATCTTTATACTCAGATAGATAATAGTTAATAGAGGAAATCAATGTTTTACATATATATATAAAAATATATATATTATTTTTTATATGGTATGAAGAATGGATATAATTTCACCTTTTCTAAATGACCAACCAGTAGTCCCAAGAAAAGATTTTGCTCCAGTGGTTCATGTCTCTTTTTAGACTTTCTCTTCTATTCCTTTGGGTCTATTTATGTTCCAATCTCACACTGTTTTAATTATAGAGCTTTTTTTTTTAAAATGTTTTATTTATTTCTGAGAGAAAGAGAGAGACAGCGTGATCAGGGGAGGGTCAGAGAGAGAGGGAGACACAGAATGTGAAGCAGGCTCCAGGCTCTGAGCTGTCAGCACAGAGCCTG